GGTACCAATAAAATATATTTAAACAAAATTAAAAAGAGGCATGTATCTGCACGAGAACCATTCAAAACCATTAACCTCAAATACGGAAGGTTTGGGGTTTGGTGGTAGCAACCTTCGCAGGCATAAGGCATGTATTACTATGCAGTCAGACTGAAATTGCAAAATCAAAAGGAAGAAAGTTAGATTCTAGAATGAAGCTGTCAATTCAGGAAACATTCAGAATTGTAGATAAATTCAAATCAATTGAATATGAACATTCATTGATACCATGAGAACAGTAAATGGAATAAGAGGAGGCGAGGGGTACTCTGGATAAAGATGAAAAATAGTATTACTTACCCTCCCTGCAGCAGATAAGTCCTTTCTTTGGTCCATACTTATAAATCCTATAAATCATGTAGATCAGAGCCGCCCCGACGCAGGGAGTCACTACGCCAATAGCAGCTTTTGATCTGCAATATATATTATTCGGGAATGTTTCCTGCCACAAAAACGCTCTGTTTGGTGATTTAACCAATAGTTTTGTTTGCTTTCAGTGTACAATGTTTAAGAAATCCATAAATATCAGAGAAGCAAGTTGAGAAGAGAAGTCAGTACACAGCACATTAAATTTCAGTTTAGCACGATCTTCTAGCCAAAGCCAAATGTTTTTAAGCATACTTATAATTTCACACTCCTTCACCCCGGAAATTTTAACTACATTCGTAACCACCTAGGACTAACGGTTTAATGATTTCACTTTCGCTTATGAAACAGCTGAATGAATTGTTTTCCGTTCCTTGATTTGCAAATTATGAGACATCAATGAACTCGAATTTTCAACGTTACGAAAATCATCATGTCCTCCAAGTCTGGCAATATGTCAACACTTCCAGATTTCTTAAGGCATTATGTCACACCACACGTCTCCAAAAATATATAATGCATTTCTCTCAATAAATCATACTAAGGCAAGCTACCATATACGTATTCAAACAGAAATACGTTGATTGAATCAATAGGAAGCTAAAGTGATTGCATATGCCCCATTATGTATAATATAGGCCAAAATATTGTCGAAAATGTGTGACATTGTGCCTTTAAATTACAATTTCGCACGTTCATTTTGCTAGTGTTTACTGCGAGCTGTTTGTTAGAGATTAAATATCGAAGTGGGACATTCAGTGGATTGTTACTGGATCGCCTGCTTGGGGCATGTAGGGGGAATATTGCCAAACGCGGCGTTTAACATACACCAATGTTTTTTGTTGTTTTTAAAGTCTCAGTTGAAAATACCATGTTCAAGTAAAGCAATATCGCGATGGGCACTGTAAATACTTACCCATCACCCAGTTCGTCCGCTTGTGCTGCAGATAAAGAAGAGTTAATTGTGTGTCAGTGTGTTTACATGTAAGAATATTTCCATACATTAGACGTTGTTTCAAACATGTATTATTCCTCTCCCCAACCAAGCAGCGTTAGGTCCGAAGTTTTGGACAAATGAGTTCTATTACCGGCTACTGGGTCTACGGCCCTAATGCCCAATTCGGTGGTGTTATAAGGTGAAAATGCATCCCTAAAGCAGTATGAGAATTACAGCAGATTCCGTATTTCGATTACCAATATGACTCAGAACTGATAACCTTTGGCTCATGACTAAGAACGGTTAAACACATAGTGGAGACAGAAAGTCGAGAATAAGAGAAAGATAAACATTGAGATATGAACTTGGCTAAAACTTTCGTGAGGCAAGGACACGACAAGGTCGTTAGAGGAAGGTTATGAAATACATGAGTTAAAAGGCGAAGACAGAAGTAGCAAATCAGTGAAAAGGGGAGTCACTGAACGGTGCTGTCCGAGACCCCTCTCATTATGATACATGAGTTAAAGGACAGATACAGTTATTAACGAATCAAAACAATATGTGGAAATATGTGATTAAGATAAGGTCATGCTCGGCTCATTTAAAAAGACATGTTTGGGCGCTACGAGCAGAGAGAGTGCGGAGAGTACTAGCTCAACATTTCAGAAGCCAATCCACTTTACTAAGTTCCCGGTAGGATACGAGCCTGCTCTGTCTTGTGTTGGAGTTGTACTTTGAGAGATATGGACTGAGAGACAGTAAACCTATGTGAGTATAGAACTTGGTGTTGCGTTTATCCTTGAATGTATGTAAGCCAGTACATGAATGTGATGTAGTTAGTTAGGAGTCACGGTCGCCCGACCCCTCACACCTTGGCTGAGCATTCCCCATGGACCAAGCGAGTGCAGAGCTGGAGCTTACATCTCCCCTGACAATGTGGAACGACCATAATCAATAGGTAACTGGGGTAGGGTTTACTAACACCCAAACGCCAGTTTCATACAGTGGTCAGTGAGGGGGGTGTTGTGGATACATTCTACCCGGTGCTCCCCTCGATCAAGGATATTGGACCAAAGTTTGTTCTTCAAAGCCAAATTCAGTCAATCTAGCTATATGGTCTGTTAATTAATGGAATCTGGACATGACAATCCAATGACTAACAATATAAGTTTGAACCCCTCAGTTGATTTTCAATTATCTAAAATTACCGGAAGTGATCTGTACTGGCAATATTTCAGCCATTTCGTGACGAGAGAAGATTGTACATCAATAACAAATACATGTATATGAAATACAATGTATATTTAATGCTGTTGTCAAAGGACACTATTACAACCAGATTATCACATTTATTCAAAACTAGTTTGGGAACATATAAAATAGTAAATTGTTAATAAACAACTCGCTATAAAAAATGGGTTACTGATCACGAGCAACTGAAGGTAATCACCACACTAGGGACCATTGTGACTTACAGAACTTTTGCTGCCTGTGTGGACCTCCAAAGAGGGTACGTTAGTTCCATTTCAATCAAAGTATTGTTATATTTCCCATTGCTTTCACAGTAGAATATGTGTTATTTTAATGTTCGGCTAAATTTTAAAAAAACATGCCAAAATTATGTAAATCCAGCTGGGCTCCATCCAGTTTCAGAGATAAGTGCTAGTTTTAATTCTTGTTTGTATGCTACTCTAGCTATCGTAGTGAGCTCCTTCGCATTCGGGGTGAACATGTTCCTATTCTGGCTCTCCAGGTCTCAAAAGGAATATTCATGACGCTCTACTTGGGTATGGATGCCTTATAACACCATGCACAACTTGCAGATGTAAATTTGACTTCTGTGTTGTATTTTAATCGCTTCAAACACGGAGCGAATTCATGCATGCCGCCATCACTGGGACCACGTGACGTGCATAGTATTTGGTAACATTAATAATTGTAATGTAGGCCTTAAGGCCAAAATTACCGAATAAACTGAATCTGAATCTGAATGTTATTCTAGCTATCCTTTGTCGACACGTTTTCCGTTATCATTTGTTTCTGTTTCTGACAGTCAATTTTAAACGTCCATCCGTGTTCTGGCATGCTTTTTTTAAGAATTCATTGTGATCTACCTTCAGTTGCTGGTGATCTCTAGCCCGTTTTTTATTGTCTGTACTAACTGTTTAATTTTAAAGTTACTTGCTAGTTTGAATTCTCTAACTGTGATAATCTAGTTATTTTACTGTCCTTCGTCGGCAGTTTTTTTTAAAAATTCAATTGCTTTTATTGTTAATCTATAACATTTTAAGTCACAATATGGCTGAAATATTGCCGATGTGACTATAAATTCTAACTCACGCACTCACTTTTTAAGAAGTAAATATGGTTTCTCTTACCTGAACCAAAACATAGGATAAGAACGGTTGTCAGTAGCATTGCTTTAGGACACATATCTTGATGTGGGAATGTTGATCAGACGTCTGACAGGTGTTGCACAACGACCGAGCACTGAAAGTTAACAGAGATCTTATTGGCAGAATTAGAGCGAGGTTGAATGGCAGGTACCATGGCGTGACATCAGGTACATATATATAGGTGCGCTGTCAATTAAGTATGTAAGGTGCGGCTGTGTTGCTCGTTTGACAGCAAACTTGAAATCTGTTTGAAGGTAGTTGCTCTTCTTGTTCTCCTGCATTTTAGCGCGGCTTTGGGCTGTGATCACCAGAGACTGTTGCAGTCACTTCAGGACGATTTTGGTGTTCAAGGTTTTGCTATGGAATGGTCTAGCTTCTATCTGTCTCAGAGATCACAGTGTGTGTACATAGATGGTCAGTTCTCGGAGTCAGTGCATCTAAACTGCGGTGTGCCTCAAGTTTCAGTTTTGGGTCCGATATTATTAACCCATTATACAAAGAATAGGGTCAAGGATCCACGAGTAAGGTTGCCAAGACAACTCTACGATGATGACGAGTAGCTCATGAAGATGTTTCGACCAAAAGCACCCATAGCAAAAGCAGCTTCTGACGACATGACAACCCGTTGAACACAAAGCTGGATGAACGTCAATATATTATAGGCATGAAATTATAATATTGATAAAGATAGAACTTAGAGTGTGAGGGCACACTCTTGGTCAGAAAGGGGGTCGTATTATAGGCATGAGATTATTGTACTTGCTACAATAATAGATATACAATTGACATGATTAATAACAGGTGATTAAGAGGTGATAAGATACAAATTATGAGAGGATTTAATAATATATTTAAGATATGAAGTGATTAATAACGTTGTAAGGTAGGAAGTCAGTAGCGGAGGTAATAAACATGAAAGTAGGTCGTTAGAGCTGATGGGGGGCAAGGCGAGGTGACTCATGGCTTAGGTAGGGGAAAAAACTGCTACACTATCAAGATGGAGCGGCGTGTCCGGGGACCTTGCTACCAGATCTTGGTACTCTACGAGTCATATATGGCTAGGGGAGAGAAACTCTGAGATTCCTGGAATCCACCTCACGGTCTTACAAATATGGTATTGGGGGTACGAAATAGAGGTGGGGGAGAGTAATAGATAGTCAGGTTATGGGTTATTGACCAATAGAAAAAATGGGAAAGGGTGGTGGCTGTGACGTAGGAACCCAGCTTTAAGCTGGAGCAAAAGCTCAGAGACGGGAGAGTGGTGCGAGACTTGAAGCCGAGAACGAGTGTGCTCCTAGCAACCCCAAGCCTGGGGTCTAGGGCGCATCAGCTCTATTCTGATTGTCACTAACTTTCGTACTAAGAAACAAACTCAAAGCACCAGCATTTCGACTGAGACTGAAGCTTCCCAGCTGAAGTCTTCTAATTATGTGACAAATAGAGTGGGTTGGACCAGCAACGCAGTGTTAATAAAACTGTTAAACGAAGATCATCGTCTTGTGGTTGCTGGAGGAACTACGGTAAAAGTCCAAAGGGCCCTCGGGTACTGACATGGTACCTCTCGCACATCCCTTATCGTCAGGACCGAAGTACGAGCGTATACCGTAGTTCCAGGTAACGACACACCATCCCAGGTGCGGGATACCGACAGGTAAAATTCCATCTACCTGCCAGGTAAAGGTGATAGTCGGAACCCTTTGGATACGTGGTGACAGATGCGGGGTAAGATCTCCGAAGAGAGGTACGTTGTATATTACAAAACTGTGTTGAGGCGGCAATAATGACTGTAGGAGTAACTGAGATGTGAAGATCGGATGGTGTAAGATTCCCTGAGAGCTACAGTCGACATTTCCGCATGAAGCGATGGAACTAACAGCTATATGAAAAACTGTGTGTGGTGAAGACCTGATGGTATAAGATCTCTCCGGTGAGGTATAGGTGACATTACAGAATTGTGCCACAGTGGCATGAATAGCTGTGCAAATAACCAGGAGCTGTGGGGACCCGTGCCGACACAAAGTTGTACAAGTGGAACTGAAAATATAGAGTGATTGGCCTGACTTTGTCAGTGCAGTGAACATTTGTGCTGAGGTTACTTTAGTAGTGGTGTCAATAACGTAAATTGCAACAGTAGAAGAAAATGTGTAGCTTCGACATAAATAGTTTTGTTAATATTTGAGGTTTTGCATGTGTGAAAAATCAAGCAGCGCCAGTATAATCAGTGGTTTGCAATAACTGGATGGGTGCATATACTCCTGCAGTAGAATATATTGTGCAGAGCTGACATAACCAGTCATGTTAATATTCTAGGTGTTGCATCAACCCAGGTGGTGGTGTGAAAAATCATGCCGCGCTAGCAAACACTTTTAATCAGAGGTGTCAAAACCTGGAGGGGTTGCATATGTTATAACACTAATGAAAATACATTGTGCTGACATTACCGGTAGTGTCAATAATTTGAGACGCTTATAGTGGGTACATGTAACTAATGATCTAACTCGTGAAAACTCTGAAGACGGGCTCAAGACTGTACTAAAACTGTGGGACAATAGACGAAAAGGACTCCATGGTAAAGGTGACGAACAAGGAAGTGCCAGCAAGAACATATATATTGTGACATTCGGACCCCTTTCTTGGAAGTGCCAGCAAGAACATATATTGTGACATTCGGACCCCTTTCTTGGAAGTGCCATCAAGAACATATATTGTGACATTCGGACCCCTTTCTAGGAAGTGCCAGCAAGAATTTATATTGTGACATTTGGACCCCTTTCTAGAAAGTGCAAGAAGAACTTATATTGTGACATTTGGACCCTTCTGTGTAAAGTGTTAAGGTTTCATAAAATCGGGCATATAGAGGTAAGCCATACCTTGTCGCATTATACCGAATGCAAATTGTAAAAGAACGAGATCCTTGAAATAATCATGGCACCAAAATCCAGCTACAAGGCCTATCACTTTTATTATAATCTGTCTCACAATTGCTGAATAGCATTATTTTCCCTTCTATTTTGCTAGCTATAGGGCCTTAAATGAAGCAAATCTGTTTCCCCCATGTCTATGAATCTCCCATTTCAATAAAGAAAAAAAGGAATTATTGTGTCTGTCAAATTTAGTTAATTAGAGACCAAACGTTAGTCATATTAAAGCCCTTAGTTTAGTAGTACTACTCCATTTGTGTCAGTTACCACTACGATCAGGAAATGCTCTGAAATGCTCTGATACCATTCACCCTCCCACAACAAACTCCCAGCTGATATTTTTATCTTCCGCCACTCACATTACAAGCCCGCCACCTCATGGCCCCAGCACACATTCCAGAGCGTCTGTGAATGGAAAGCCTGCCCAGTTAATTACAAAGCAGTACCGCTCTCAGCAGCCCGCATGGCACATTATGTTGTAGACTTGCACAAGGCTCTAAAGTAGTAATAAATAGTTTAAACAACAATTCCCACAACAACAGCAAATATATGCAATCAATATTACCACATTGTCCATCTAACAGACTGGGGCCTTTATCTTGGCTTAGAAAGATTGCATTGCTGTACACTTGTAGCTGTGTTATGATGACAAACGAGAATTATTTTCCCAATATCTATCCTCTCAAGCATCACTTCGGTTCGAAGGAACCCTGTGCAAGTATAATTGTCCCTGGCAAATCTTTAAGAAAACATTCTTGCAACGCTATACCCCAAACTCCATTGTTATGCTGAAAAGAGATAATGACGTAATAGACAGGAAATAAAACAGTCGGAGTCATTTGCTGACTTCTTACAAACGGTGGGACATCAAACAGCCATAATTGACCGAAACAATGATGATTTGTTCAGGGATCTCGTTCTTAGATTAGAATGTCAAAAAAAAATAAATTCAAATTATATTTACTAGACCACATTTTTACTGGCTGAAGTTATATAGAGCGCAGAAATTGGTGACGCTACTGGATCCCCTGAGGACGAATTACGGGAAATGCACACAATTCACGTACTGAGCGAACCGATGGACCACCAGATCGCGTTTTCTCTCCAGTCAATAAATTTTGTTGATTTGAGCCAGTTCCTACATATGCAACCACACCCAGTCCAAAGACACATTACCATAACCACTGATTCGGTGTTCTCAGTAATACCGAGATACAGCAGTCGGAAACGCTAGTATAGTACACGAAACACTTACATTACAGTTGAAGGAGGCAGGCAACAGGCTGTATATGTCCAAACTTACTTTGACACAGAGTTTAAATAGGTTGGGGAGGCGGATTCTTGTCGGACGAGATATGTATTCGCCGTGGAAGCGAATTTCCTGGAGAATATGAGAGATTTATATTTTATAAGTGTATTAGCCTGTTGAGGCGGATTCTTGTCGGACGAGATATGTATTCGCCGTAGAAGCGAATTTCCTGGAGAATAGGAGAGAGATATATTTTTGAGGCGGAGTCTTGTCCGATGAGATATGAATTAGCCTGTTGAGGCGGAGTCTTGTCTGATGAAATATGAATTAGCCTGCTGAGGCGGAGTCTTGTCCGATGAGATATAATTTAGCCTGTTGAGGCGGAGTCTTGTCCGATGAGATATGAATTAGCCTGTTGAGGCGGAGTCTTGTCCGATGAGATAGGTGTTGGCCTGTTGGGGCGGATTCGTGTCTGACGAGAGTGGTACAATGGTTCACCATGAGGGTGAATGTAGCCTGTCGAGGCGTAGATATATAAATAGCAAGTAATATTCATTGCGGATGGCTACTGTCAGTGGGCCCTACCGGTAGCGACCCGCAAGAGCCGATGCCAGCCTCCCCTACACCACTGACGAAACTAGCCGTTGTTGCCCAAAGCTGACTGTTTGCCACTGCGCAGGGTGACGGAAAGCTCACTTTTATGTGGATGGGCAGCTTTGGTTATTGACGTAAGAGCCGCAACAACAACAAACAAACAAACAAAATAAACAAAAAAACCAAAAACAAGTTCAGGCCAGATTATCGTTTGACACACCTTTACGGTACATGGAAAATAGAACAGCGCCAACAGACCACAAACCAATAAACAAAAACAACTACTATTAATCACAGAGACTCAACCCTTGGTAGTATAAGGTTTTGTTTCACAATCACATT